CGGGCGGCCACGCCCTCCGCCACCCTCCGAAGCCGCTCCTCCGGGCCTGCCCAGCGCAGGAGATGCGCCAGCTCGTACAACTCGTTGGAGTAGTGGGCGCCCTTGTGCTCCCGCACCAGGCCCTCCACCAGCCCCAGCAGCTGCTCCGCCTGGGCTTCCTGCTCCTGGCCGGTGGCCCGGTTGTCAAAGGCACAGACACGGCCTCCGCACTCGGCCACCAGCTCGCGCAAGGCCAGGTTCTCTGTGCTGCACACGTAATCCTGCAGGGAGCCCCCAGCCAGGTCCTCCTTCCTGGTGAAGACGATGACAGTCCATTTCAAGACGTCCTCCCCGAACATGTCCCTCACCTGCCTCACCGCTTGCTGGTCCTGGGCGGTGAACCGGCCCAGCTGGGTCACCAGGAGCAGCGCGTGGGGCCCGGGGGCCGAGAGCAGGTAGCAGCGACCTCTCTCGTCACAGCCGGTGTCTGTCTTAGACACTTCGGAGCTGAAAATGTCCGGAGTGTCCACGACTTCCACGTGGTACTTGTTCCACCTGCGGCTGGCCGTGGTGCAGGCCCTGGTCACAGACGTGGCCCCCAGCCTGGAGAGGAACTGTTTCTGGCCCAGGATGCTGTTCCCAGTGGCGCTCTTTCCGACCCCTGTTCTCCCAACAAGGAGGAGCCTCAGCGTGGGATCCTGCCGGGACCAAGTGGTCTCTTCTAAACCTGTGAGACCAAGTGTTATAATCTTACTTAAGTTTAACTAACTTTCCCTTGGGAACTGGAATCTTCTTGCCTTTAGCAGAAGTGGTTAAGAATAGAGATTTGAGCCCGCAGGCGTTCATTTCCACCTTTTCCTTTTGTATTTGGGTTGTCTGCCTGCACCTGTAGATGCTTCAACTACAGCTGATTATCATAGAAATGTTCCTTTATCAATCCAGCCCAATAGTTCTGACATTTCTGGTCAGCCACACACATGCAGACATATTTATTTAGTATTTGAAAATTTCGATGCACTCTGAAATATTCTCCCAGAGACCATCCCCAGAGAAAGGCCGTGGGGGCAGTACTGCCCCATAGGGAAGAGCTGTGTGGAGTTCCAGCTACCCTGGTTTGAATCACAGCCCCACCATGTGCTAGTTGTGTAACCTTGGGGAAGTTGCATAATCTAAGTATGAAGCCTCTTCGGCAAAAATGGGAGTGATAATAGAGGCTTGTTTCTCAGAGGCCTGTTGAGGGGGTAAGATAAGCCCTCTTTCCTTCTTCCCTCCTTCTCTTCCTCTTTCTCTCCTTCCTCTCTTCTTTCTCTCTTAAACTGGCTGCCTAAAAAGAATATCTGTTTTAACCCTCTATCCTTGTTCTGTAAACATTCTACCTCGCAAATCTTATGTTCACTGTAGTGCATGATTTGATCCCCTCTGCACTTCTTCTGTGGTGATCAGAGTAGGCTTATTATCCTTATTTTATACCGTGGAACCAAGGGAGCCGGCTAGTCAAAGAACTTAACTTTTCACAGCAGAGATCCAGCTAAAATGTAAATCTCAGGGCTAGTGCTGTCATTCCAGGGTTGAGACATCTCTGGAACTTATCTCTGTTCAGTCTTGAGGAAGCCCCATTCTCATTAGCCTAAGCTGAAGCCTAGGGGGGCAAGTATGAGGTGTAGAGATATGGTCTTACCATAGATATTTTCTTCATCTCTCACCATCTTCCTTCCTCCCATGCTTACCTGGAAGGGTACCAAACACAATTTGTTAATTCATTTATTTATTCCTCAAATGGGCATAACCATCTACAGTGTGTCAGGCAAAGTCCGAAGAGCTGGTGACAGCACAGTGGAAAGACATGTTTTTGCCTGCAAGGATCTAAAAATCTAGGTGTATGTCTTGGCAGAAGGGCAGGTGGCTAGAGAGAAGACAGGTAAATTTCGTCAAATATAATACATTGTGCTAATCCTTCTTTAAGTACTTGAGAGAATGGCCTTGGAAGGGCCAACACCCTGCCCTTGAGTTGTTATGATGCTGTGAGAACATTGGGTGGGGCTGGATTTGTCTTTTCAGGAACTCCAAAAGCAAAAAGCAGAGGGTAGGTTATAATATTTACTCAATGCCAATGGGCTTTAGGTATTACTTTTTCCCCGGGTGGTTCTATATCACTGACATAAGCTAGAGATATCAGGGGATTCAGCAGCTGGGGGAAGATTAGGTAAACCCTCAGAAGCAGAAAATTTGCCCAGTGACTTAGGCACCCACCTTCAAGTGGCTGGCCTGGGAAAAAAGAAGAAAATTGGGATTTTTCTTTTGGAAATTGAACAGATCTCCCAAGTAGATCTGGAGGGCCCCTGACTCTGTTTTCTTAAAATCAAATAGTTTTGTTTGTCTAGAGATGTCTAAATATGATGTCTGTGCTGGAGAGACTTGAACACTCCCCTTCAACTCCTGAAGTTGTCTTCCCCTCCAAATCTGATTATGCTGAAATCTAACATTATGTAATACAGCTAAACACTCTCTGATCCAGTTTGCCTAATCACACAAGCTCCTAAACACAAATGCACTTCTCCCTGCATCTACGTCTCCAGCCTCATTCCCAGACAATCCCCCACTCGGTCAGCTACTTCACAATCAGCGGATTTCAGGGCCTTGCCAACCCACTCTGCTTTCCCTCCTAGGACTATTGATCCTCCCCGACCATCTGTCTGTACCTCACCATCCATGTCAAACTCTTTGTGTCTTGTACCCTGGTCACTCAGGTACCTGTGTTCTCTCCCGTTGGCACCACACATGAAGGAAGGGCAGAGAGAGAGGCTGGCTAAGTAACTTGTCTTTGATCAAAGGACTTGGAGAACAGGTTTGCCTCATCCTCTATTAAATCTAGAGCTGTTTCTGTTTCTGCAGGAACTCTCCTGGCCCTCCCCAAAACCTTTGATAAGATTCACTCCATGGGCCTTATGTGATTAATTATTTTGCGTGTAGGAATGAACAGACGATCATCAATGACATCAGAGCAGAAATGAAGAAACAGCTGCAAGATTCGGAGAAAATAATTTAGATGAAGCAAAATGTCCTTGTCAACCAAGAAAATGAGAATGTGTGCTGCAGGGAGTCCACAGAACTCTGGGTAGTCCACTGGAATTTTCCATAGTTTGGAACAGGGGTTGAAATGATTTTAAATAGATTTTTTTAGAGGAAAGTAAGACCCAGCTGAACTCTGAGGTGACAAATGGCCCGTAATCATTGAGGAACACTTGTAGGATCCTATATTCCTAATACTTTAAGAGACCTCAAAGTTTATTGAGTTCTTTGCCACTCAAATGTGCTGTTTCTCAGAATTACGTGAATGTTCTTTAAAAATGTACAGCTCTTGGATCCATCCTCAGAGATTCTGATTCATGAATTAAATGTTTCTGATGTCCACAGCTCAGAACTTGGACATCAGTCATTTTTGCAACCCCCTTTATTGTACAGGTGGGAATTTAAGGTGTCCCCGTGGCTGGAGCAGGAGAAGCTTGAATTAAGGGAGCAGATGTTAAAGGGACCATGCAGGGAAAGGGGATGAAGACCAAGATATTAATCTCAGATGTCTCCTCAGGGGCCCCTTCTGTGGACAGTGAGGAGGAGAGTTCAAATGTACCGTCTTGTCACGTTGTGACTCACTCCGAGGTTAGATGGCTTACGGGGCCACAGAAGTATCTTTTGCCTTTGCTCAATAGGGAGCTTGAGGAATGTTTAATGCCTTTCAAACTGTATTTTATTCCTGGAGGTGGTTCCAGCACACTCTTCTCTTACTTTATTAAGGGAAGTGGGAGGAGACAGGTTTCACTCCCCACCAAGAACGTGTGTGCTCCAGAGCTGGAGAAGATGATCCTAAAATTTCCTCTGAACTTTGCCTACTTAAAAACCTGGAAGCATGTCTTTGATTGTTCCAGAAATTGCTCACCTGCATGATGCCTTGTAGAATGCAAGTGCTCAGGCAGTAAACACTCTAGGAATCACCTTCTTTCTGGTTCTCAGAGCACCCCCAGCCCCCGCCACTCCCAGGCTCTGGCTCACCTTTCCTGGTGACAGGCTCTGAAGTTGGCCACAAGAAGCCGCAACCTGCTGCTTTCCCTTCGGCTGTGAGTGCAGAAGGCTCTTTCCTCTCGGCATACAGAGGAAATCACTCAGACTTCAGAAATCAGGAAGCTCAGGGTGGGCCCCATGGTTACGATTTAAAGAGACAGAAACATTTCCTATTGAGCTGTGAATTGGCAATACTTCTCCTACCGACCTACTTTCTGCTGTGACTGAGGTTATATGTCTCCAGCAGGACCTCATGATATCAAATATCTTGCCATGCCCTAAGAAGGGAGGAATGTTTAGTCCCTGAGGCCTGACTGTACTTCTAAAATTGATTACTAAGCTAACCTTCAGTTGCCTTTTGCCCTTTAGGGACGTTTCCCCATATAAAATAGGCCCAGAGAGTCTCCTGCCCCGGAACACATAACATGATAGCTGTTCTCATCATCTGTCCATTAATTAGACATCCATGTGATCAGTGCCAGCCCCAGATCCAGTCTGCCAGAAAAACCTGGAGGCAAAGTCTTATCATTCTCTGAGAGAGGAGGGCTTTCCCAGCTACTGAAGGACTTGAGGGTGAACTAGTATGTTGAGGATGAACACCTTTGCACTATCTTCAAATTAGCCTTATTAGGAGGCTTAGTCTAGTCATCTATGTTGGTATCACCAGTTCTAGTTATTCTATATTCTCTCAAGAGCATCATGAGGTCAGCAAAAAAGCGAATCATTGGGTGGTGAGAATGTTACAGAAGAACAGGCTGCATATCTGGTTAGGTCATTAGCCAGCTATAGGACCTCACCTAACTCAAACTTTCTGGAGTTGGCTTTCTGGAGTTCACTATATGGGGAAGACAATAACTCAAGTCTTACCCTACTGGATAGGATCTGCTTTTTAATCTTTTTCATGCCAGTCCACTTTTTTTCTGGTAGGGAAGAGACCCAACTTTTACTGTTTCCCGTCTTTTTGGGGGCACAGAGTCTCCTGGATGTCTGACATGTTCACTGTTTCCATTCATCATTGCTGAAACAGGGTGCCTGTCATTCTCCCACTAAACCAGCAGGGCTGGGGCTATTGTGAGGCAGGTGGGGCATCTAGGGCACACAGCTTAAGGAGGCACTCACTCTCAGGTCACCCAAGTGCAGATCCTGTAGGTGGGTGACCCTGGGAGTGAGTGTTTTCTTAAGAGTGAGGTGCCTAGGGCTTCTCACTAGCCTCATCCTAGCCCAAGCCATGTAGATCAGCTTTGAATAAGTTTTTGATACGTGACGTGTACCTTTCATAAAGATGCTTTCAGAACCTCTTCGACAGCTCCTTGCCATTTATTGTTTCCATGCATGTGTATGATGTCTTACTTCAACCACTCGTAACTCCCTGTCAGAGGGTTTATCTGACTATAAAAGTATGTGTAGGTAGTGCATGCAGCAGCCTGAAGTTGTCAGAGCTGATATCCTAGGAGCATATTTCAATCAATGTCAGTTAGGACTTATGGATAAACACCACAGCTTCCTTACTTATCAAGCTGTCCACCAAGTGAGACAACTCTGTGATGTACTGCATACAAATTGCTGAGTCCGCAGCAGGACTGAGACCCAGTTGTTTACAGTGGGAACATCCTTATCACCGTATACAGTGGTAATGTGCTCATTAATGCAACCTGCGTTGGCTACTATCCCTTCGTGTCTCACATTTCCACTTTCCTATGGGTGCTTTCTGCGACCTTCTTCCTATTGAAAAGTAACCGTGTCTGTCTTTATTTTCCTCTACATTTCTGTTAGCTCTTGATTATGTCTCACTTTCTCTGGGCTTTGTTGCCTATTATTCATTGATATTTACTATCAGTTGTGGAAACCCAGGTGAAGCTCAAGACCCTGACTACACTTGAGTCTCAGAATTATATCTAGAACTCCTGCTTCCTTTTCTACCCTGTATTAACACTCCTTCGTCTCTTTCCAGTCTTTGCATGTTCATTGTTTTCTTCCCTATCCTTATAAATGCGGTAAAGAAGATGTGTTAGTCCATCCTCATGCTGCTTTAAAGAAATACCAGAGATTGGGTAATTTATAAAGAAAAGAGGTTTAATTAGCTCATGGTTCCACAGGCTGTACAGGAAGCATGATGCTGGCATCTGCTTGGCTTCTGGGGAGGCCTCAGGAAACTTACAATCATGGCAGAAGGCAGACGGGAGGCATGCACATCACATGGCTGGAGTAGAAGCAAGAGAGAGTGGGAAGGAGCTGCATACTTAAAAATTTTGTTTAATATACTTTAAGTTCTGGGATACATGTACAGAACATGCAGGTTGGTTACATAGGCATACATGTGCCATGGTAGTCTGCTGCACCCATCAACCTGTCATCCAGGTTTTAAGTCCCACATATATTAGGTATTTGTCCTGATGCTCTCCCTCCACTTGCCTCCCCACCCCTTGACAGGCCCCCATGTGTGAAGTTCCCCTCCCTGTGTCCATGTGTTCTCATTGTTCAACTCCCACTTATGAGTGAGAACATGCGGTGTTTGGTTTTCTGTTCCTGTGTTAGTTTGCTGAGAATGATGGTTTCCAGCTTCATCCATGTCCCTACACAGGACGTGAACTCATCCTTTTCATGACTGCATAATATTCCATGGTGTATATGGGCCACACTTTCTTTATCCAGTCTATCACTGATGGGCATTTGGGTTAGTTCCAAGTCTTTGCTATTGTGAACAGTGCCGCAATAAACATATATGTACATGTGTCTTTATGGCAGAATAATTTGTAATCCTATGGGTATATATCCAGTAATGGGATTGCTGGGTCAAATGGTATTTCTGGTTCTAGATCCTTGAGAAATCACCACACTGTCTTCCACAGTGGTTGAACTACTTTACACTCCCACCAACAGTGTAAAAGCATTCCTATTTCTCCACATCCTCTCCAGCATCTGTCGTTTCCTGACTTCTTAATGATCGGCACTCTAACTGGTGTGAGATGATATCTCATTGTGGTTTTGATTTGCATTTCTCTAATGACCAGTAATGATGAGTTGTTTTTTTTTCATATGCTTGTCACGTAAATATCTTCTTTTGAAAAGTGTCTGTTCATATCCTTCACAAAATTTTTGATGGTTTTTTTGTTCTTATAAATTTGTTTAAGTTCCTTATAGATTCTGGATATTAGACTTTGTCAGATGGATAGATTGCAAAAATTTTCTCCCATTCTGTAGGTTATCTGTTCACTCTGATAATAGTTTCTTTTGCTGTACAGAAGTCCTTTAGTTTAATTAGATCCCATTTGTCAATTTTGGCTTTTGTTGCAATTGCTTTTGGTGTTTCAGTCATGAAGTCTTTACCCATGCCTATGTCCTGAATGGTATTGCCTAGGTTTTCTTCTAGGGTTTTTATGATTTTAGGTTTTACATTTAAGTCTTTAATCCATCTTGAGTTATTTTTTGTATAAGGTGTAAGGAAGGGGTCCCTTTCTGGAGTTCACTATATGGGGAAGACAATAACTCAAGTCTTACCCTACTGGATAGGATCTGCTTTTTAATCTTTTTCATGCCAGTCCACTTTTTTTCTGGTAGGGAAGAGACCCAACTTTTACTGTTTCCCGTCTTTTTGGGGGCACAGAGTCTCCTGGATGTCTGACATGTTCACTGTTTCCATTCATCATTGCTGAAACAGGGTGCCTGTCATTCTCCCACTAAACCAGCAGGGCTGGGGCTATTGTGAGGCAGGTGGGGCATCTAGGGCACACAGCTTAAGGAGGCACTCACTCTCAGGTCACCCAAGTGCAGATCCTGTAGGTGGGTGACCCTGGGAGTGAGTGTTTTCTTAAGAGTGAGGTGCCTAGGGCTTCTCACTAGCCTCATCCTAGCCCAAGCCATGTAGATCAGCTTTGAATAAGTTTTTGATACGTGACGTGTACCTTTCATAAAGATGCTTTCAGAACCTCTTCGACAGCTCCTTGCCATTTATTGTTTCCATGCATGTGTATGATGTCTTACTTCAACCACTCGTAACTCCCTGTCAGAGGGTTTATCTGACTATAAAAGTATGTGTAGGTAGTGCATGCAGCAGCCTGAAGTTGTCAGAGCTGATATCCTAGGAGCATATTTCAATCAATGTCAGTTAGGACTTATGGATAAACACCACAGCTTCCTTACTTATCAAGCTGTCCACCAAGTGAGACAACTCTGTGATGTACTGCATACAAATTGCTGAGTCCGCAGCAGGACTGAGACCCAGTTGTTTACAGTGGGAACATCCTTATCACCGTATACAGTGGTAATGTGCTCATTAATGCAACCTGCGTTGGCTACTATCCCTTCGTGTCTCACATTTCCACTTTCCTATGGGTGCTTTCTGCGACCTTCTTCCTATTGAAAAGTAACCGTGTCTGTCTTTATTTTCCTCTACATTTCTGTTAGCTCTTGATTATGTCTCACTTTCTCTGGGCTTTGTTGCCTATTATTCATTGATATTTACTATCAGTTGTGGAAACCCAGGTGAAGCTCAAGACCCTGACTACACTTGAGTCTCAGAATTATATCTAGAACTCCTGCTTCCTTTTCTACCCTGTATTAACACTCCTTCGTCTCTTTCCAGTCTTTGCATGTTCATTGTTTTCTTCCCTATCCTTATAAATGCGGTAAAGAAGATGTGTTAGTCCATCCTCATGCTGCTTTAAAGAAATACCAGAGATTGGGTAATTTATAAAGAAAAGAGGTTTAATTAGCTCATGGTTCCACAGGCTGTACAGGAAGCATGATGCTGGCATCTGCTTGGCTTCTGGGGAGGCCTCAGGAAACTTACAATCATGGCAGAAGGCAGACGGGAGGCATGCACATCACATGGCTGGAGTAGAAGCAAGAGAGAGTGGGAAGGAGCTGCATACTTAAAAATTTTGTTTAATATACTTTAAGTTCTGGGATACATGTACAGAACATGCAGGTTGGTTACATAGGCATACATGTGCCATGGTAGTCTGCTGCACCCATCAACCTGTCATCCAGGTTTTAAGTCCCACATATATTAGGTATTTGTCCTGATGCTCTCCCTCCACTTGCCTCCCCACCCCTTGACAGGCCCCCATGTGTGAAGTTCCCCTCCCTGTGTCCATGTGTTCTCATTGTTCAACTCCCACTTATG